GCTCTTCCGATCTCCCCAAAACCCCAAAACCCCGATAGTTAAAATTCATAACTTGATCGAATGAGAGTAAATATTATAAAGTAAACTAGATTATAAAACTGAATGTATCTAACAATCACAGAGTTTTATTGGTGACTTTATTGAGCCAGAAATTTATGCAGAAAGGATGATAGTGCTTGCTATTGTAAATAAAGTTATCATCTAAGTTCAAAATCTCAAATGAATGACAGCATAGATTACAAGTATTGTCACTGATTTAACTCAGCCTGAGTTCTTTGTCCTTCATTGACTTTAGCAACTCATTCAAATCTTTAACTTTGCTCAATTCATACCTCATATCAGTTTCAAGGATTCTTTTAAGAGTTTGGTTAAGACTAGACAAACTTGATATTTTTTAGTTTAAGTCTTCTTCTAAGATTTGAGAATCTTGCTTTAAAGCCTCAATATCCATTAAATAGTCATCATCCTCTTACATCTCAGCTACTACTAATTTGAATCTCTGCATTCTTACAATTCTTCTGAACACTAAAATTCCTTTGAAAAATCTTATGAATCTAGTGTTTTCTGTAAGCTCGCTGATACTATCATTTTCATTCTGATCTTAGAGACCCTCTACTTAATCTACTACTCTTTAAATCTAATTTAGTTCAATTTTAATTGCACTAATGATTTCGTCTGTCTCTTACTTTAGTTTTGACATTCCTTTGTTGATCTATGTTAGATAGGTGCTATAAGAATATGAAATTTATTGGTTATAAACTTACATAAGATAAATGCAGATATCAGATTTTTCTAGTTTTTTAGAGCAATGATTCTTAAAAAGATTCTATGAGAAATGAAACTTTTCGTCACAATTAACAACAAGTTCAAATAGCTGCTTCTCAGTTAGAATAGGCTTATGATTTAACATTTCTCTTATATTTTTAACTTATAGAAGTTAATTCTTTAGCTAGTTGTATTGATTTCTATATTTAGCTGCTAATTCAAAATCCTCATCAGTTGCCGCCTTTATCTTTTTCTTATTTTTCCTATCCATTTTTGCAATAATTTAGAGATGATTGCTAAATTTAGATTTGACTTCTTATTCTGACTGCTCTAATTGCTTTATTAGGTAACTCTATAGCGTATTTAGCTAACTTTAATCATTTAGCAGGGCATCAATTTACTGATCACTCATATTTTAGTAATCAATTGATGACTCAGATTGTGAGTTACCTAGATAGTATTTGTTAATCCTACTAAGAATGCTCTCTTTCATCTCATATTTATTTTCATAGTTAAATAATGTTGTCTTTATTTTGGTGTGCTAGTCAGTTGCCTTTTTTTCTACTTAAAAATCGAGATCATTCAATTAATCTTTTAATTATTTTTACTTCTCAGCTTATTATTAGAGTTCAGGAGCATGCTTATTCACAAGGCTTTTACCGAACTCCATCATAAAGCCCGAAAGTAGATTATTTTCATTTAATTCTATCTTTGGCTTTGGTGGCTCTTCTTAAACCTCTATTACTTCTACTTAAAGCTCATCATGCTTATTGCTTTTATTCCCTGAGTCATCATCATCGTCTAATTCAAGAATATTGTTATTTGTGATATTTTAATTGACCATCTAGATTTGATTTTAATTATCTCTTCGATTATCGTCTTAAGCATTTTAATTATTTTGATTGCTATCAGTCCAATCACCAAAGCCCTCATCATCATCATTTTCCTCAGAGATTTTAGGCTCTTAATCGAACTAGTTATTATTATTTTAATGAAAATCATTGTTGATTTCATTATTAGTTTATTAAGCTAGCTATTGAAGCCAATTACTATCTGGTTTGAATTTTCCATCTTTGTTTTTTTAATCCCCATAATCTTAAGAGTTCTCTGTAAAGCTATTTTCATTGTCAATGTCTTATCTACTGTTAGAAAATATATTTGAATCTTGGCGGCTATCTGAGATATCTGGTATGCTTGAGACTTACCCTTCAGCCCCTTGAAATTCATCAAAATTCTCCTCATCTTCTTCATTTTTATTGTCAAATTTTAAAACCTCACCTTCTTCAAATCTGACAGAGTTATCATTATTTTGAAAAATATTTTTGCTTTTGGTAGGCTAAGGAAATACAGTAAGTAAGTTTTGATTCGGAATTTATGATTATGTCTAGGTTACAGCAGGGGATGGAGCACTGTAAAGACTTAGGAGATCATTTATAAAAGCTGGTTATTATATCTTTTGAGCAATTGTTGGGGGTGTATCCTCTATTCCCAGCAATTCATCATCTATCTTTAATAGACCATCATCTTGCTTTTAAATCTTTGAATTAACTAAAGTAATGCTAATCTAAGGCTCAGCTTATTCAAACTCATCAAATCCCTCATCCACTTCATCATTTTAAATCAGATTTAATTCATTGATTTTTAAGTTATTAGATTGGAAATCTGTGATCAACTATGTACTATGAGTTTATTAGGTAGTTTATTTTGGTTGTTAACTGATCTGTTCTTTGTTAAATTGAAGAGTTGACTCTGAAATCTTTTCATCTAATATATCAGCAAATGCATCTCTTATAAGATCTATCCTATTTTTGGGGTTTAAAGATTCAGAATTTTAATTTAATTTAGGTACTTGGATTCCTTCTATTAATGAAGTTGCTTTTTCGTGCTCTTTATTTGAATCTTAGAAATTATCCCATCCATCCTCATCATCTGATTTTTATTCTTGAAAATCTTATTTGATGATATTTGATGGCACTGTCTTTTATTAAGGCTAGAACTTGATATTTTTCATTTACTCGAATATTAAATCTTCATGTAATTTAGGTTGTTCAATTTCTTGAATAATTGGAGGTGGAGTGATATCAAGAAGATCAAGTAAATTACTAGTAATAGGTTAATAATTTTGATTTTGAGTTGAGGTACTCTAAAAATTATTGTTCATAAACTAATTTTATGTGATTTATGTTGTAAGTTATTACTGTAAAGGAGGCTAAGAGACCATTGTATTATTACCCATACTAAAAACAGCTGATTTGAAGTTAAGATCAAGAAGATCCATTATTCCAACAGATTGAGTGGTACTTTGGCTAGTAATATTTTGAGAGGGGTTCTATAATTAGTGCATATTTTGAGCTTGATTTGTTATCAAATGAGATGTTGGAATTTTATTGCTTTAAGACGTTTGGGATGTTACTTTGCTGCTGTTAGTTGATTTTGCCTCCTAAAAATCTTCAAATCCTTCATCATCCCCATTATCCCCATCTTCAAATGGATTAAATGACTCTTTCTTTTGGAGCAATGGAGGAGGCATTTATATCCCTTAAAATCTTGGACCATCAACCTTTTAGTTATTCATCCTCATACTTTCGATAGTTACTGAATATCCTTTAAATCTTATTAAAAATATCTTAGATACCTTGTTAAGCAAGAGCAAGATATCTCATAAAGATGAAAAACTCATCCTTAGCAAGATGGGGTGTTTTGTGTACACTAGAAAGATTCCATATTTCACGAAGTATAGTCTAGATTAATGTCAGATGAGTTCAGATTTCACAAATTATTTTATATTTATTGTGCTTACCTAAGAAACATTAGCTAGCTTGAAAATGTCTACTGCCTTTTTGCCTTCTATTAATCCTCCTTATCTCGCCTGATTATAGAGCATTTCATAATACATATTATCATAGTCAGAATATTTTAAAAAGCTATATTTTTCCATTTTGAATTAATTATTTAATTATTGCATTCATGATCATTTATTTATTATCCCGGGGTTTTGGGGTTTTGGGGTTTTGGGG